AAAATCCAAATATTTCGTCTTTAAGTCTTAGCTAATCAATAAACCACACAATTAAACTAGGCCGTGAGTCCTTTGGGAAGAACGATACTTGGTCTTACCAAGTTTATTACTTGAACGATTCGGTCATACTTGCCGATTGAAAAACAAGTTTGTGACATCATATTTTGGTGTTCATAAATTTGTCCATCAAGAGGCCGAATGACCGAGTTCACGAGGCCGAGGGGACGACTCTGAGGTGGAGTTGACATCCTTTTGAGGCATTACTCGTTGTTCCTTGTGACTACAATGGGGATACTCATTCGGTCCCACGGTGGGCGCCAAAATGTTTCAGTAGGATTTAGAACCCTAATCTAAAACATTTAAAGTTGTCCGCTCCATCATCCAGTTGCGATGTCTTCTCTCTTCTTCTTGTCCAAGCCGCGGGGGAGGGTGTCTGCAAAAGGCACTCCGACGCTAAAGTCAGTGGCTTCGCGTAGTAATGTTGTAATCAAGATTAGTTATCAGAGCTCTAAGTTCAGTTCAAGTTCAAGTTACCTGTCTTCCTTGCCAGACAAATATTTATAAATTATAATGAGGTTACCGTTAGGTCTTACTCATTAATGACTATGTTAATTGTCAATAAATTACAATTATTTTCATTAACTCCCCGACAGTTATTATTATTAATTACCTTAACGGCTGATTTAACTTATCGGTTCATTGACCTGAGAGGTATCATCAGTCGGACGGCTCTTCTGCACCTTTACCGTTCGGTTGGCCATAAGCCCATAGTAATAGTTATTATTATCTTCTATTTAGCAAGTCCTCTTTACATAGTCATCTTTGAGAAAGATCGCTACTCCGAGAGTTGACCTCCTTGAAAGTAAGTGTCATTAGGTAAAAAGATATATACTATTTTGTGTCTTGGGAGGAGCAACATTGCTTTAGTAGTGGTAGTATGTACGACTTTGAACATAGCATAAAACTTTAAGGAAACATTCTGATAATGTCTTTCTATCTCTTAACATCTTTCGGATTCTTGTTTAGGACTTTTGGATAAAACTTATTGTTATCATTATCTACACAAATAAAGAGAATAAAAAACAAAATAGATAGAAAGATACAATACTTTCATACATTTAATATTTTTACTTTAAAGAATCTTTATACATGTTACGTAAAACTAAACATTTAGCCTAAATATGTGTTTTTAAATATAATATATTCAATATTTAAGAGTGCTTGCTTAGACATACTTTTTATCAAGCATAGTTTTTAACTTTTATAACATATGAGACGTTATTTTATTTTGTATGCGTTTATCAAGAGTGTTTTAGTTAGGGCTGGGCATAGTTCAATGAACTGTACTGTAACTACAGTTAACCATACTATATTGTACTTAAAAATACTAAATTTTTTTTAACTAAAAACTAAATAAACTATTATATAGTACAGTTAAAAGAAATTGAACTTTATACAGTTAGAGTACAGTTAACTAAACCACAGATTTTTCTTCTAATAAAAATTTTCACCCCAAATTGAAAACCTTCGAAGCTAGGTTTCGAGAGGCTGTGAGAAATGCGAAGAGAATTCCATTCTTCCTTTGTGAAAATGCAGATTCAATGGATCAAACTACAGGATTGAAGCTGCAAAAGGGGTTGATTGAGGGGCGTGAATCCTCCAAACGAACCCTCCAACCCAACCCTACCCTTTTTCCAGTTCGCGGGTTCAGCCGGAGGACCTCGGCGATCTTGAAGATGACGACAACGACAAAGAAGAAGCACCACGTGGACCCTCTAAACCCCCTGATTAGGATGATGAACAATGGCATATTAGGTCTGCTATTGGCCAAGATTGCACCCTCGATTATGAGGTATATATACCGCTCATACCTCTTTATTCTTTTCCCCCAATAATATGTTATCATGAACTCACATTATGCAGTTATAATTTTAATTCAACCAATTTGATGATGAAAATTGCTTCTTCTTTTTTTCCCTTTTGAAAAAAAAAATCATTTAGACCTGCGATGAAGGAAAGCTTTTTCATTTTAATTTGGGCTTACTACCCCTTTTTTTTGTCTGTGAGGAAATTGTGTAGGAAGAAGATTTAAATATAATGAAGAGTCTGTTACTGTTACCACTTAGTCCCTCCATGGGTTCACTGTTGTTCCACCTTAACCAGTGGTCTCTAAATTTGAGGGTTTTTTTGGTTTAATGTGAAAAATTGTGTAGGAATATGAGTTTATTGAAGAGTATACTATGAAGGTGATGGACTAAGATTGTATACTTAAATTTCATATATAATGAAGCACATGGATAGAATCTGATGGGGTTGTTTCATTTTAGTCAAATGGTTTTGTGTTTGAACCCATGGTATGCTTCCTGTAGAGTAGTCCTACCCGGTTCAAGCAACTGTAGAGGATACTTGCAGTCTGCACTAAATTCCTTTTATTGTTGTTGTTATCATTTGTGTAAGCAAATATATAATTAAACTTGAGAAGGTCTCTCTGTTTTAAGCTGCATTGTCGAGTTGTAATGTTATTCGGTGATTTAAGCTGCATTTTGTTTCTACATTGGAGTAAAAATGAGTTCTGAAATTTGATAATTGGTATGCTCTTTTTTGCTTCTCTGATTTGGAATGTTTAGGATTTATTTTTTATTAATTGAAGAAGCCATTTTCAGTGGTCACGTTCTGTTTTCCATGAGTAATTATCTATCTGAACTTATTGATTTAAATATCGGGTGTTAACCAGGTACTGATAAGTCTGATCATTGATGTTGCTTTGGTTGTCTAGTTATATGCAAATTAAACTGTTATGTATGTGCTAGTTGGGTGATGATAAAAAGGAGGTGCTGTTAAGAGTAGAATGTGATATAAATGGTTAGACTTTGGGTCTGTAATGAACTAGATGATATGAACTATTAAATGCATGTGGATAATAGTTGTGTTGTGGTTAATAACTTGTAACCTTTGTTTAGATCAACATGTGTAGGTTGTTATGGTTGTGGATTTTAATGCTTCTGGTTCTGATTCTTAATGTTCATTTTGTACTCAATAATTTGACAGTTGTTGTTGCTGCTGATTTTTCAGGTGCTGATTCTGCAATTGTTGATGCTGATATTCATACACCTCTCATTCAACACATTCATAAACCTTCATTAGATGAGGTGTTGCTGGTGCAACAGAATTGGAGAGAAAGTCATTGTTTTATAGATTAGTTTAGTTTCCTGCCTTTTAGTTTAGCTCAGCCTAGATTTATACAGTTTGTTTTTGCTGGTTTTTATATGTTTCATACTTAGTACTACTTTATAAATGTTAGGATTCAAGTTTCATTTCAGTTTCGATGCTGTTCTTTTTTTCTTTCTGATTTTTCTATTTTTAGCAGAAAAATGTTTAGTTCAAATGTGAGGAGTGTTATGTTGTTTTTAGCATACTGTTTTAGTTTGTTGCTTTTACTGTTTTAGTTTACCTATTTTCTGTTTTCAGTCTAGTTGCTGCCAGGGTTTAGTATTACTGTTGATGTTTTCTGTACCAGTTTACTAAATTGTACTAGTGTAACTGAACTAAAAACTAGTTCAGTTCAATTTCTTTGAACTATTTTTTAGTTCAGTTCAATTCACTTGAACTATTTTATAGTTAACTGCAATTATTTATAGTACAGTGCACTGAACTGCATTTTGCCCACCCCTAGTTTTAGTAAATACCTATTTTTAATGCTTCACTTACTAAAGAATATTTCATTAAGTATGGAATGCGTTACTAAACCGTCTATTTAGAAGAATTTGTCTTAATAATATATATAATTAATTAATTAATTAATATGAGAACGTATTAATATTAAACTAAAATAAATTCTTAACGTTTATCAAAGGAGATTGTCTTAGTTAACTGTGAGACATGATTTTGCCAATTCAAAAAGATAAACGTAGTTAGCAGCAGTGGTGGCAGGTAGCAGCAGAAACAAAAAAGCAAAAAGTAAAAAGGGTGTGGTAAGGTATTTTCATAATCACATCAAATAAAAAGTTTCTCCAACCAAAACATTTTTATACTTAGAGATGATCACACTAAGATTTTAAAGGAAATAAATTTTATCTACAAACAGCCGGAAGAAAACAATTTACTTTATTTTAACTTAGAACACCTAACTTTGTTCTAACTTGCTGAGCTGTAAAACAACCATAAACAAACCACACACCAAAATCCAAACAAGACCATACCTATAGTCCAGTTTTTACTAAACATTCTTTGAAACCAGACAAAGACAAAAGAAAAAGCTTCCTCAAGACACACTTCACACCCACCACCATTATCCTCATTCAATTCTCCTAACATTCACATCTCTTTCTATTTGCTTCAACCTCCTTTTCTTTGTCCTTCATAAAAACTCTATGATTTTTCATTCCCTTCTTTCCTTAAAAAACGTGAAAAAGTTGGCACAAAAACAAAAAAACCCGTCCCTTCTTGTTCTTCTTCTGCTAGTGTTCCCTCTGTTCTCTGTTGCTCTTTTTGGTCTTTGAGTTCTTCTCCTTCAGAAATTTTGAGTTCAACTTCAAAGTAAACCACTATGAGGAAGCACGGATGGCAGTTACCTTACCACCCTCTTCAGGTACTTGTGAAATATGATCTTTTTCTGCAAAGTTTTTTTCTTTGTTATTCATTGTGGAAAATATTTCTGAAGGTGGTGGCTTGTGCTGTGTTTTTATCTCTGGGCTTTGCCTTCTACGTGTTCTTCGCTCCTTTTGTTGGAAATAAGACGTGTCAGTATATTGTTATTGGCCTTTACTCACCGCTGGTAACTCATCTTCCTACATCTCTGCCTTTTTTTGATATATAATATTCTCATTTCTGCTTTCTAAGATTGTTTGAGAAACGAGTGAGATCTGTGACTTTTTTTCTCTCAGATTCTGTATTTGGTTTCTTTTGTAAATCTGAATTCCGTTCAAGTTTTCCTGTTGCTTTTTATTATATGATCTACCACTCTGTTAAGACTGTCGTGTAGTTCAGTGAAGGGTTCTATGAGCTGTCTCTGTACATGAAAAGTCTATTTCCCTTGTCCATTTCCCACACCCATTTTAAGCACACACTGAGTTATGACTAATAGCCATCACAGAAATCTGTGACCTACATTTCAATGCGTTATTTTTTTAATTGTTTGGATTATTTATTAAGTTAAACTTTGTTCAACCTGAAGTGAATTATCAGTTAATTCCCTCAACATAAAAGCTTATTAAATTGATCCTTATACGTGTAAAATGTAATTGAATTAGTCCCTACAATTGATACTTCTTACTCATTCTTCATTTGACCCCTACGTTTAATTTATTCTTGTTTTTGTTTTTCTCCCTATATGTGCCACATATTCTTAATTGATATTTAATATATTATTAATTTGATCCCTACTTTGCAAGTGGGCATATTAAAACATGCTACTTGAATAAGGACCATGAGACTGTCTTAGATGGCTCTAAATTTAGAATATGTAAGGGTTACTGGTGACAGGGACCAAATTAGTGACACTTTTTTTTTTTAAATTTCCTCTTAGAACTGTATTAATGGTTCTATTATTTTTCTCCTGGGAGATGATCAAAGCTAGTTTGAAATCTCCTAATTTAAAACATATTTGATATTTCGACGATCAACTTTATTTTAGTGGGTTGAGATTTTATGTTGACGCAGGGCACGTTTTTCAACATATAAGTAAATTCTGATTATAAGACCACAGAAATGTGTTCTATTCAGCTAAAACTTGAAGTGCATGATGAAATCATATAATTCTATTGTTATGAGAATTGTGTGTTTTATAGAAGAAGTATCAAAAACTTACACTTGAAGAGTGAGTGGATTCTTTACCTATATATGTGCAGTTATTTTGCTGATAATTGCCTTTTGTAGATCCTGGTTTATGTCAACTAAATCCTATGTCAAAGCAAGACACCGTAATGGAACAAGAGAAAACTCCATACACTGTTCAAGACTTTAGTTTTATGCACTCACAATTCTCCAGAGCACAATATTATCAAGTTTTAGAACTATCTATGCATGCAGATATGCATTTTCTATTCTCTGATGTTCACCCCTTTTGTGAGCTATTTGCTATGTTATTTCCCTGTGAAAGACATCATAGTATAGTGATATTTCCTCTTTTGCCAGATTATTAGTGTCTTCGGACTGTACATTTGGTGTGCAGCATCAAATCCAGCAGATCCAGGGGTTTTTAAGTCGAAAAAGTATCTAAAAATCCCAGAAAGTAAAAAGCTTGCTAAAGTAAAGAGTTCTAAATTAGGTGAAGAATCAACTTCGTCAATGCATGAAGTATATGCATCAACAGGTGGAGCTAATTATGTGGAAAAGGAGGGATTGGGAACAAAAGGAGTTTCAAAAAATGCTTCGAATTCAGTGGAGAAGAGTACATCATCATGTTCATCCTGTGTACTCTTGGTTTCTTCCCCTTGTGCTTATATCTGCAGCTGCTCAAGTTTAACTGATAAATCTTCAGATAAACAAATAAGTGAAGATGGTATGTTCTACTGCAGTTTGTGTGAAGTTGAGGTGCGTAGAAGATTTTTGAACTAGAAATGTATCATCCCTTTAAAATTACTGTTGGAGTTCATTCCTTAATATGACATGTGGAGGTGAAAGGATGCCTTGACATTTGTGCATGGAGAACTTTATAATTACCTTCTGTTACAAAATCATGCTCACTCTGCAATTCTTAGATGGTATATCACTGAAGAATTGCATTGATGCAGGTTTTCAAGTACAGCAAGCACTGTAGAGTTTGTGACAAGTGTGTAGATCACTTTGATCATCATTGCCGAGTATGAGTATATATCTTACTATTTCTTTAGATACCACTCGAGTTATGTTCTGAAGGACTTTTGCTACCTTGGTTTGCAGTGGCTTAACAACTGTATAGGAAAAAAAAACTACTGCCAATTTTTTGCGCTCATGGTTGCTGCTATGCTCTTGGTAAGCAATATTGTCCATCCTAATCCATTAAAATCACTAAAAGAGGGATCTTAACGTGATTTTAATGGATGAAAGTTTGTTTTAATTGATTTGAAACAAAGAGCATTAACCAATAAAATCGTGATTTTAGTCAATTAAATTATTCTTCTTTGTACTTCCAGCAACTTGAAGAACATTATAATAGATTAAAATTGTTTTTAATCCTTTTAACACTTTTTTCTGCGTTTAACCTTTAACTAGACAGCTCAGAATGAACTTTTTCTTTCACAATCTATGCCTGATCAAAGGCAAAGGAAACATTTATACAAGATTAAACTCGAAAATTACAACTCAAAACACAAAAATCAAACAACCAAACTACATCAAAATCATCAAATCTTCAAGCTTTTGTTTCAACACTCCTACGTTATTGAAAAATATAATTCTGCTTAAAATCATCAGTGTTTGGAAGTCAACCTCTATTGCCAAAAACAAAAAAAATTACCCTACTTATCTCCGTGTAAAGTATCAATTCTTTCCTATTTCTCTTTGAACCATCCCAAACCTGTCTTAATAATTGTTGCAACATGCCATAACCTATAGAGCATCACAAGTATGGATTTGTATTTCCTAGTCACTTTCATTTTTACTAACTAATGACAGGTCTATACATGATTTTTGCACCTTGGGCTTGAGATTGCAGTTTATTCTTCAATGGTTGACTGGGATACTAGTGCTTATCTTCTGTTTTGTCAAGAGGAAGCAATTTTCTGTGGATATATCCTCCAAGTTGGGAACCAGTTTCTCTCTGGTTCCTTTTGTTCTTGTGGTGGTGAGCATTCTCCCTCTCCCTCTTATGTAATTACTATATTTATCTAGTAATGGTCATTTATTCTTCCAACAAACTAACTTAGTTTTGCTTGTCTTCGCTTGGAATCTTTTTATTTGATAAAATTCTGAGGCTGTTTCCAGATGCAGCTATTCTTATTTTCTCCCTGTGAAATTTTCAGTCCATCTGCACAATTCTTGCAATGATTGCTACCTTGCCAGTTGTTCAGCTTTTCTTCTTTCATATCCTCCTCATTAAAAAGGTAAGTTTGACTGTTGTTTGGTATGTTAACTGTCCGGTTAACTCTTCATCTTGAAAGGAATTTTATTTATCTTTCTGTCTGAAAACAAAACAGTAAATAGTTACATACATCTTTTGTCACATAACTTTTTTCTATTTAAACAGGCCATGTGTAGTTGTTGATGGTTTAGTCTACACACTTCTCGTATATGAAAACATTTACAAGTCTCTCACATTTTAGTTCCTAGTAGCGAATAAAACGTTTTCCTTGGGGGAAGATGCATGTTTACGTCTTGATTCTCAGTTTATCACAATAATATTTGTAGTGCTAAACATTATCAATGTATGTATCCTCAATCTGAAGTGTTAATTGTTAGTTTGCTGAGTGATTCAGGGACTCAGCACGTATGATTACATCATAGGTATGAGGGAGCAGGATCAGCAGCAGCTAGAAAACGGAGGTCAGCAAAGTCCCCAAATGTCAACTGTTAGCTCACTTACTGGATTTAGTAGTGCAAGCTCCTTCACTAATTTACACCGAGGTGCATGGTGCACACCCCCACGCCTGTTACTTGAAGATCAGGTAACATTTTTTCAATTTAGACTTGTTATCTATGTTCCTTGTTTCTCTTTTCTTGTGCTTGGATGCTTTTTTGATTAAAATGCCTTTAGGTATTACCATCCCTGCAAAAGACTCTTGCATTTCAATGGTTTTCATATCTCATGTATATCAAACTAAATTTATTATGTTATGGAAAACATGACACTTTTCATTAATTGAATAAACATATCAAGAGTAGTGTTAATATCAACATCAGAAGTTACCTACCGTAGCTTCTTTTGGATGTTTTTTTGTGCAGATCAAGTACAACATGACCTAACCTTTCACCCACTGGAAAACTAAATTTATGAACTGTTAAGCTTGATCATTTAGTCATTTCTAGATTGATACTACTATTTTCATTTCTGTTCTTTCTTTCGTTTGCTTACTGAGGACTAGCTGCTTTCATTTTTTCCTTCTCTTTTTGGGATGTCATCGGTTGTAGTTTGATGTGGTGCCCCCAGACACGGTTTCTGTTAGTTCACTGGGAAAGAAGACAGTGAGAGAAGATCCGTTAAAGAAAAAGAATCCCGGGACAGTAAAAATTAGTCCTTGGGCATTGGCACGCTTAAATGCAGAAGAAATTTCCAAGTCTGCTGCAGAAGCAAGAAGAAAGTCCAAAGTTCTGCAGCCTGTAACAAGACAGGAATCAGAAAGCAGTTTTGGTAGCAGTGGCCGAAGAATGCTTCCCAGAATCGAGAACAATAAGAAGCGGGCTGGTAAGCGGGTTCATCTTCTTGCCGACATGTCTTTGGAGTCTCTCACAAAAGATTCTGCCAGTTATGTCGATAAAGGGTTGAGTGGGATATCTAGATTTGCCCCATTACCGTTTGAAGGGCGCAGTGCATTTCAAACAGGTAAAGCGATTTCGAGCTCAGCTGGGATTGTTCCTTCGTCACCTGAAAGCAGTTTAGACTCTCCTGATATTCGCCCTTTTGGGGTGTCCTCTTCGGGTGTTGATAAAGCAAGAAAGCTTGCAGGCTCTTCAGCTGCTGATGCTGCTGCAACTCTGAAGGAAATTCCTTTGTCAAGTTCAACTAGTGATGGATATGAGGCTTCTGGTGGGGAAGACAGTGATCGGGTTGTTCCAAACAGGATTGTTCAGAGATCTACAGATTGGAGTAATGTTCTTTTCAGAGCTCATATGGATAAAAGTGCTTTGGAAAAGCCTGAATCGTCATCCAGTGTTGTTGGTCACAGTAGAAAATTGTGACCCACTGTTGGTCATATCCAGTGTCAATTAGATAGCTATATTTCTGAACATTTTATTAGAAATGTTCATTCTTTGACGGGTGAGCAATAGGTTCTTAAACATTTAAGATAATACTCGCAAATTTTGGACCTTTAAGCATGTGGGAACCAATGTACAGAGTTTCATGTTGATAGTAACTGGTCAGTTGTAGCTGTTGGTGAAGTGTGGTCGGTCTGTGTGCCGCTATTTCTATCATGAGAAGTACAAGTTACTGAATTTGGGAAGAGAATTATTGTCTACACCTCCAAACTCCAAAATGTTACAATTGTTTCTTTAGGTTGTATCTTCGTGCATAATTTCTATTAAAACGACTCTGGCTAATCTGCCATATTAACAGCTCTTTCAAAACATGTTCTTCTCCGACGAGTTTTGCTACGTTTCCAATGAGTTCAAGGCCATATAATAAGTACTGTTTAGTGTGTATTTAAGTAAACATTAAAAGAGGTTCGTGCAAACTCACGAAACTTCTCTTTCATAGTAAAAGTTAAAGCTTCGTGTAAGTAAAAATGGTTTTTGTAGTAGCGATATTTGTAATTTGTAAACGTAACCCAACGTCTATCCCGTAAATGTAGTTATATGTGTGCAACTGTGCTTAATTCACTTGTTAAAACATTCTGACAACCTCATTGCTTGTTTAAACTCATATTTAGAAAAGAAAAAACCTTTTTAATAAAATAATCACGAGTGATGATTCTATTTTTGTCTCACAAACTATGAAGTTATAATAAATTTTAATAACATCTGAAATACTAATTATTTATCTATTTTTAAAAAAAATTAACTGATCTATATTCTCTATTCTCTATTTTCTACTATACACTAAACAATACATTTATTAATGAGATGATTTTGGTAAATTATTTTAATAAATAACATTTATTATTATCTTCAATCCGTCTTCAAGAAGTTTAAAATGTAAATACTCAAGAAGCAAGTTTATTTTCATACGTAGGTAAGTTCATCTAACTGTCAATAACTTAATATTATTGACTACTTGCTTCACAAAATTAACCACATGGTGTCATTAACCGCTTATAAAGCAAACTTAACCAGTGTGAAATGTTTCAATAAGCTAATGATTATCCTAACTACATAAAAGTTATTCTTGCGTTATTCTTGCTTTTCCAGTGCATCCTTGTTGATTTTTACAGGCAGATATTAAATAGGATAAATTATACAGAATCCCTCTATGATAAAGATACGGATAAAAACAAACCTATTTTAATATAAACATATTTTATTGCCTCTTCGCTATTTATCGCAAATGAGTTTCGACAGGTGGAATTCCTTGTCCATCTTGATCCTATTGTGACCTATTTCAGGAAGCCGATTGTGACAGATATCACAATTTACAAGCACCTAAAGCAGGATTTATCATATTCAATAAATACATGAGAATCCTATATGAAATTTTGGCTTTAAAAAAGGATTAATTTTTGAAAAAACAAGATAACTTAAGATACGTCTTTTGCATATTTAAGCAAGCTGAAAGAATCCTCTTCTCTGATCTCCACATCTTTCATACTATCCTAATCTTAATTTGTCATCACAAATCAGTGTGGCCAATATTTTGTTTCAACTTCCCACAACATGTATACAACAAAAGAGCACACACCCAGACAACTACAACAGCACCTGTCTGTCTTTCAAAGACATTTTCAAATATAATTATATTTTCTCACTTATTTTTTTCACCTCGTTTTTCATTTTCTTACTCGCGCATCTAATAAATAAAACCCAAAATAAAAGGAGATTATTTTGCTAATTTTGTAGTGCAAAGTCTTTCGATATGCTACCTAATATACCACCACTATTTATTCATGGCTATATTAAATCCCATGCCTCCAACACGAAAGCTAGTGCAAAAATTGGGCCAGGTTTCATCAGTTCACCATTTCTAGTTTTTTTTTTCAAGTGATGAAGATGGTCTAACAAACAAGCAGACTTATCGCAGGGAAGAAATTCTAAAGCATCACAAAAGAACATATAAAAGCATGACGAGGAATAAACTTTTGGACACGACCCAACAGAAAGCCTGTGAGGCCATATTCGCAAGATGATCTGCAAGCTGATTAGCCTCACTTGCAACTTTAAAATCACCATCTTAACTGATTCCACCATGGTTCAAAAAGATGAGATTGTTTGCAGGCCAAGTGATTTCTAGTTTCAAACCTTCTGTAACACTTCGCATTAAGCTAAACTCCAATAAACCAAAAAACGATTCCAATCATAAATTCCCCTGATTTTAACACTACACATAAGAAAAATTTGTTAACTACTTAACTTAAAAAGAGCATTCGTCCATGACATGATTGTGCAACTAAAAAATAGATGCCATGAAGTTTCACACTAAATTACAATATATACATTTGACAACCACAAGTTCCATATCCTCTGCTAAACGGTAACATAAATTTACAGGAGCAAGAGAGAAGATACACTGGCCATGTTACAAAAAGTAACGTTGAACCAACCTTGGAAGCTACATTCCTTACACATGAACAACCGAAACAACGTGAGGAACCTTGCCGTCATCGAACGGCAAGCAAACGTACTGCCAAGCGAACTCCTGGGCGATGTCGACAGCGAGCTCGCCGTGAACGGCCTTGCAGTACATGTAGAGGACGGTGTCGGCGGCGGCTCTGTAGAGCATGAGGATCATGAGGAGAGTGGAGGTGAGGACGATCTGGGTGATGAAGGCCCAGTCTTTCCAGGCCCAGCCGTCGGAGCGAATAAGGAAGGCGGTCCAGAGGAGGAGGGCCTGAAGGGAAGCGAAGAAGAGGAAGGAGGAGAAGGCGACGGGGGTCATTCCGCTAACGAGAGAGGCGCTTCGACGGAGAGGTTGGAGGCCCCAGGTGGACTCCGCGACGACGATGACGGGGGCGAGAGACCAGGAGACGCGGAGGTAGAGCAGGGCGAGGAGTAGGGCGAGGAGGAAGAGTGTTGAGGCGGTGAGGAGGAGTGGGGAGGCGAGGGAGAGGCGGCGGAGGAGGAAAGGGAGGGGAAGGGAGAGAGAGAGAAGGATGAGGTGGGAGATGAAGGTGGTGGCTATGAGACGGGGGAGGGAGGGGGGAATAGAGAGGAGGGCGGAGGGGAGTTTGACGGGGCGGCCGAAGAAGCCGTGGAAGACGCTGTGGGTGATGGAGGCGAGGGCGCAGAGGGAGAAGATGGGGAGGGAGAGGAGGAAGAGGATGAGGGGAAGGGAGAAGGGGGTTAGGGTTAGGGTTTGGGAATGGAGTTGGAGGTGTGTGTTCTGGGATTGATGAGGGGATAAGAGAGGGAAGAGGAAGGGAGAAACGATGATGGAGAAGGAGAGAGGGAGGAGAAAGATGACGGAGAGGGCCAGGAAGTGGCGAGAGTGGGCGTCGATTATGCGTTTCGATTCCGATAGTATGCCCCAGAGGTTCAGGCTCGTTGCTCCTGCCATCACTGCAACTGATCCGTCAATTTGGTGAACCTACACGACGGAGGAGGAAGTGAGTGCCGTGTGGATCGCAAGATTGCAAATAAATGAGGGAAAGGGTTATTGGATAAATAAATAAATAAATAAGAACTAACGTCATTTCCACTTCTTGCATCCACCTCTCATGCCATGTCTTAATCATCCATTTCATTTTTTATTTTAGCTTAAAAGCCTGAAATCGGCTTTCAAAGTCTTGGATTTTTTTTTTCAAATTAATATTGTGTTTAAACTTTAAAAACCAATATTATTTTGTTTCCACGATGTGGAGACGTTTCATTTGGCGACGTCATTCAGGACGGCAAGTTAAGAATATGTTTTTTTTAAGGAATGGAAAATATCTATAATCTAATATATTCAAGTTTATATTTTAACTTTATTTTAAATTTAATTTTTTTTAATTTTAGATTTTAAGCTTAATTAATTTAATTGGATTATATTAGACATAAATTAGATAACTTTTTTTAATTTGGAAAATTTAAAATTAATGGGTTTTGATGGTTTAAAATGTTAAATTAGATTTAGTTTAAATAAGATAAAATCCAGTGAATTAGATGAACTCATGTCAAACATTTTGTGACCAATTGAATTAGTTCCATGCTAAAGTTAAGTCAAGTTATACTAAATATGCATTAGGTTGAGTTGAGTAAATTTGATGTTGACAAAATCCAAATTGAGTCCATGATAGGTTGAATATGATCAATGTCAAGTTGGGTTGAGTCATTTGAGACCCACTTAAGGCAGAATCAATAGATCCACTACATGTTGAATCGATCTAGGCACACATCAAGTCGAGTTAGTTTTGGTCCACATCAAGCCAAGTCAGAGTGAGCGTAGGTTGGTAAAATTTGATTAAGACCAAGTCAAGCTAAGTTGAACCAAGTCAAAAAGGTCCAAGTTGAGTTGAGTTGAATCGATTAGGGCCCAAGTAAGTTTGAGTGTGCTTGATTCCATGTTAAGCAATGTCTATATCAAGTTAAGTCAACCCAAATGACATAGGTCGAGAAAGGCATGTTGGTTAAAGTCATGCAAGGAAGAGTCAAGTAGAGTCAAGCTCAATTTAGGTTTTATCAAGCTAGGCCTGAGCAGGTTAGGTAAGGTCAAACTCATATCAAGTTGAGATTGAATTTGTCAAGCTTAAGTCAAGTTCAAACTTAATTAGGTCAAGCTTAAGTTAGTTTGGGTCAGGATGTGCCTAGCCCATGTTTGGATGGGTTAGACTTGGTTAGGGCAAACCAAGCTCAAGTCAAGATGGATTAAGCCAAACATAGGTCAAACTAAGTTTGATTGGGTTGAACATATGTCAAGATGGGTTTGACACCAAATACACATTAGGATGTGTCTACTAGGGCCAAGCCTACATTAGTTTGGTTCTAGTCGGGTCAAACCCAAATTAGGGCAAGTTGAGTCAAATAAAAAAGTTCAAGTCAAGCTAGGTTAAGCTAAGTTGGACCTAAGTAAGTTTGAGTGTGCTCGAGTCCAACGTATTAATTTATAATTATGTTATGTAATTTCTTTTTAGTTACAACATCTTTGTCGTACTACACACATGTGCTGATTATAAATATAAATAACATATTTTCATTCTTTTAAATCATCACCCATTTAAGTATTTTTCCTCTATGTTGTGCAATCTTTCTCGAATTTTACTTGTTTTTTTTTTTCAGATAATGA